CCCCAAAACCCCAAAACCCCAAAACCCCAAAACCCCAAAACCCCAAAACCCCTGGTCTAGGGATAGAGATTGAACAATATTTTATATATAATATTGATATGGATAACCAAAAACTTTCAGGAAAGAAAAGGAAACTCCTAAGACTAATCAAGAAAGATCTAAACAGTATAGAATTAGAAAGAAAATGTTCTTTCAAGAAACTATTGATGAATGCAACCAGCTTAAAGAGGAAGTCAGAGTTTTGAAGAAACAAAATGAAGAACTGAAAGATCAAATCTATAAGCTTCAAAATACGAATCAGTCACAAGTTGAGTTTAGCTGTAAATATTCTGTAGGAAGTTCAGCTAAGCAGAAGTTTGAGCACTCTCTACATGAATACGACGATTATGTATACAATCGTACGAATCTTGGATTCTAACACATAGGTTTGTGCCCAAAGATGCTATCAGACCCAGATAGTGTTCGCTATATCACAATCTCACAAGCCTGTGATCACATCTTTGACTGGAGGTAAATCTTTACTCAGTTTTTATCCAATTATCATTTGTTCTTACCCAGCTTCTCTTAGTCTAAGTTTCTAGTCCTGATCGCATCAGCTTCATCAAATAAATGTTTCAGTAACATTCTCGACAACATGCTCGACCGTGTCTCAAAATGATACTATAAATGCCATGAAGTGCTAGGAGTCAAAACTGGAGATGACCTTAACCCAGAAAAGAAACGGACCAAGAAGTATTTCAGCAAGCAAGCCGAACAAGTCTGTCCAGATAAACAGAAGATTAAGGAAATATACAGCTCTGTTCCATTCACAGAAGAATCGATCAAAGCCTATAGTCAGAACTGTAAAAAGTACAACAATCACGTCAAAAGAATAAAGAAAATGTAAGCTTTATTCTCAAATTAGCGGTCAAAATTTAATCAAAGAACGCAACAAGCTGCTCAACCTGTATGGAGAAATGAAAGAAATCATGCTGAAGTGCAAGTTCACTAAGTGGTACAGCAAAACAGATATTGTTAACAACCTCAAAGTGTACGACAAAGTCAAAGATACAGGCCTGACTTCCCACCACAAGCTTTACAGCATTCCGAAGAAGAATCATGATTATGAAAAATACGAAGATGGAGAACTTACTGAATAAATATTACTTTGATTCAATAAAAATGTATTATCCTGGGGTTTTGGGGTTTTGGGGTTTTGGGGTTTTGGGG